GGCTGCCTCTGTCTCTCCAGCGCAGTCAATCGTCACAATCAGTTGATGGTAAAGTTTTATTATCGAAATTCTGAGAAGCACCGACGTGTCCCGTTCTGCGTCAAGGATTCTCTCGGCGCGACATTCCCGCGAAGTAGAACGCGTCGATACCTCGTTCCACGGGAGATTACCGGATGATCGATTATTGAGATCGGATAGACGCGAGTAATTAATCGGAGACCACGGCAAACAATGCGGCGGTAAACAGTCATATTGATTGATTTATTTATTTTCAGCCTGTAATCCTCACGTCCGCGAGTCATTTAATTCGACGTTTCACGTGCGCGCGCTCGTCTTTCTCATCGCGCGGCGAAACAAATTCGCGAACATCAATTGCAACCATTGCCGTAGCAGCGACGGAACAATCGCTCTTATCGGCCACGCGCAGCCTTCTCGTCGGATTTCTATCGGTAGAGGCGCGTCATTAACGCACGTTTACGGGGATCAACGGGGCCTGCGCTATTAGGATGCCATAGCGCACTGGCGCGTTATAATATTCAATGTACACAAGTTGCGCCGACATATCGTTGCCGTATATCCTGATTGCCGCGCAACGGCAACGACGATTTAATCGGTGTAGTCGACCGATACGATAGAGATTGCGGTCGTGAGATCGCAATCAATCCTCGCGATTTCTTACGTTTCGGCGAAACAATACAGGCGAAACGAGTATAGTTTGCGTGCGCGCGCGCGCGCTCGCGCGAACTTTCACGGGCCACTTCGGAATTTTGCCGTCCGGCGTAAACGATAACGTTCACAACAACCGAGACACCGGATACTCGATGGAATTCTCGCGGTTCCTGTTTCATCGAATTCAATCCTACGGGATTTCTATTGGTTACTACTGGCGAATGGAAATGTGTCAGGCCATTGGCTCTTGCTATTTGAATGGATTCGAGTGGAGTAGAGAGTGAAGGCTCGGTTAACGTGTCCTATCTACGCCCTACGGTCACCCTCTCTGGTTTGACTGACGCTTTCTCTCTCTCTCTCTCTCTCTCTCTCTCTCTCTCTCTCTCTCTCTTTTGTTCTTTCGGCTATGAAAAGACGCGCGTAAGTGCGACGGAAAAGAGTGGAAATAATTAAGAGAGGGAATATGCCGGGGACGAGAGAGAGAGAGAGAGAGAGAGAAAGGAAAGAAGAGAGGAGAGAACGGAGAGGGAGGGACAGGTAAAAATGGAATATTCCATTCGCGCGCACCGGTTATTATTACGTAAAATTCTCTAGCGTCCCTCTCTCACCCGAACTGTTTGCCCGGCCAAATGATCCGTTTTATACTCGTGAATAACACAGAGAGCGTTCACCCGCACATGCACGCGCAGCCACGCACACGCGCGCGAAACTTGGAGATATTACATACAATTCTAAACCCCGGTGTTTCGTTCCTTTTTTTCTAGCCATTCATCGTACGGAAATATGGCGAAACTCCGCGCGCACCGTAGCTCGCCTATTAATGTGAGCGGAACTTTTTGGAAAGCGCGCGAATGTATATTTAGTCTTTCGAGAGCGGCTGGCCGACACGGAAGTAACGTGCGATCGATCGCGTCAGAGGAATGTAACTAACTCCACTTTGCATAGGAAGCGGAAGTACCGTTAAGTGGATTAACGATTCCCTTTACTACATCGTAAAAGATTAATACGGCACTCGCGAATGGCATGTAAATGGAATCGGCTCGGCGCGTAATTGCGACGATTATTGTTACCGCCAATATTTTATGCGTGTGATGCTCCTTGTTCCTCATTCAGACTACGTTATCCGAAAAAAAAAAGAAAAGAAAAGAAATGAAAAAGGAAAAGCGAGGAAAACGACCCGGAGTATCATCTTTCGAAGCAACAAAAGTGAACAGTAATATCTCGTTTGCTAAAGAATGTAATTCATTTGCGCGTCGCCAAAGGAAAACTGTGTATGTGTGTGTGTGTGTGTGTGTGTATGTGTGTGTGTGTGTGTGTGTGTGTGTGTGTGCGCGCGCGCGCGCGCGCGTGTTCCGCAGCGTCCGCGCAGCGATTATAACACCGGCGGGCACAGTGAATTAGCTAGATTAACAAGTTAATCTGCCAGTTTTCCGGCAGCTGGCTAATTTGTGAGAACATGTGCATTCAACAGACATGTATTATATACGACAGATCCGCCGGCGGCGAGGATCTCTTAGTGGCGCGAGGCTCTGGCAAGATTGGATGGGACTTTGGCTGGAATAAGACGGAATCTCTCGGGATTCTCGGCCTACTCGATACATCGATTATCGATGAAATATACGTCTAGTAATTTTACGAACGGAAGAATTGGTTATCGGATCCGCGGCGGCGGGAGGCATCGCGGCGTTAATATCTCTTCGAGTTCTTTCTCTTCCTTCCCTTCTTTCCGTCTCCTCCTCGTTCTTTCTCTCCGTCCGTCGAAATTCAATTTCTTCCTCGTGACGATATTTGATATTGGAGAGGAATCGTAACGAATACCGGACCTAATGAACACTTCGTGCTCGGTGGGCATTACGAGGATTAATTCTATCGGCAATCAAGCAGGAGAATCGTATTAGAAGTCGCTGCACTTGTGTGGGAGAAGAGAGAGCCGCTCGCGCAGTATCCTTTTAACTAGGATGACGCGGATCAGCGAGACTTAACATAGTTATTGTGATCGTAATCCTTTCAAAACCTGCGGTTCTGTAAACGTTTTCTCACCTCGACTCTCCGTTGTCGTCGTTGTCGTCGTCGTCGTCGTCGTCGTCGTCGTCGTCGTCGTCGTCGTATTTTGTCAGGGTGAGGAGAGAGATTTTGCGTAAATTAAACAAAGACGAAACGTGTGTGTTTTTCTGAAACGAATAAATTTTCGTTCTACTTAATATGAAATCATATGAATATGGTACATTTTTAATTTAATATTTTGCACGAAATGTGCCGTATCGCCGTATAAATAAGATATTCGATGCGAAATTAATATTAATTTAACAATAATACATATTAATGTTAATTTACTGATATACGCGGCAGATTTGGGAATATTATCGCCTGTTTTAACATCGCTGTTTAATGCAATTTCGCGTCATTTTTGTCGCAATGCCGTAACGCCGAAGTATGCCTTCGATGATGAGCTCTGAGACAGGATTACATGTTAATTAGCCTATCGGAGGCTGATGTTAATCTACATCTATTCTCATGAAAGGTCGTGTAGCGGTTGCTACAACGAACCGCGGGACTAGAGCTTAGTACGTCGAGAGCTTACGAGCGATCGATAGGTTCGTGCGGCAAAAGACGGCTACAGCGAGTAAGGCGAAAACAGGTGATCGACCGTTGAGTGTTTCGCGGAATATTACATGAAGGTATTGCGCCATATTTTATGTAAAAAAGCTCGCGTTTTCAATTTCCACGATTATGCCAAGCGAGACGGATCGTTATTCTCTGGTGGAAGCTTCCTCTCTCGCGCGCATACTCGAGATTCGTACAAACGTATATCCTCTCTAAGTGAATCAACCAACATATCCCCCCGACTGCGTTGAATCGATGAAAGAAGCATTTAGAGATATCAGGAGAAACATAATCAGTTTACCCAATCAGCTGTCTAATCAGTGAGTATTCGCTGGTTCTCAGTGCAAACACTGCCGCTTCACCACTCTCATGTCTTATGTCTCACTGACTTTCATCAATGGCGGTAAGAATTCACCACGCGAAATCTGTGGTGCAAAAATTCATTAGACGCTCCACCAAATCCAATTTCTGTGTTTGCGGCGATAAAATTGACGGCTTCCATGCACCTGGCGTACGATTGTTTGCGTGTGCAAACCGCATCAATAATGAGTAACAGTCGCTTCTATCAAGCGATCTTTTCAGCGAGATTTCATCGATTGCAATGCTGTGCACACAATCGCCAGTTATAACCCAAGTTAACAAGTCGTTGATCGAGTCGATATCAACGATGCTTTTTCGGACAACGACTAGTTTCTTTATTGATAACGTCGTTGCATTTCGACGACAGGTCCGCTTGGCATGTGGGATACCGTATTCATGTATAATCGATATCTGTATATCGACTTGGTATCCGGAAGATATCATATAGGTGCCGATGGATTATTGATAAAATAATTTATTAAATCCAAGTCGAGATATATCCAATATGGAGTATGATATAAGCTGAAAATCGCCGTTACATTTACGTAATAGCTTGCGGATATCGCGATGAAATCTTGAATCAATCAATTGATCGTTGATCGTCCACAAGATTTTAATTTTATTCCGACCTGACTCTCCATCGACTGGTAGATACGAGAAGTATAGGTTTTTTTTTTTTGAATAAAGAATACGTTGATTGTATTTCCGAGAGTGCACGGTTTCCGCGTATGGAGAAATTCTTGTTTCGAGAGACACGTCCGGAGACATAATGAGACCTCGTCTCCGATCGCGCGAAAATCCACTTCTCGCTGAAAAGCGAGACCGCCGCGCGCTGCATTGATCCGACGCGATGAAAAATATCGCGCACGTGTCGCGTAACCCGCGGTAAGTTGATTGCAAGTTGTCGCTGGTGAGCGGTGAGCGGGTCACCAGCCGGGGGATCGACTCGATTTGCCACTAAACGATTGCGAAGCAGTTCGTGGAAGATCGCTAAACGCTCTCGATGTCCTTCGCCGAAGAGTCCTTTCGCGTCGCTTTCGGTTGACACATGTTAAACCTCCTGAGAGAAAGAGCGTCGTGTACACGTCGCCGCAACGCGACGCTGACTTCCAGTCATTAGGTCGCAATTTGCAGCAGTTTGAACGACGCATCGATTACAGGCTATGCGCTGCGTCAGCGTTGCATGCATTCTCCCGCGAACTCTCGCTCGTTCGTTGCTTCGTCCGTTCGCGACGCGAGTCGACCGGCGGCGGCGGCGGTCTCGCGTTTGTCCCGCCGCGCCGTATCTTAACCCGCTCGGGGTTATTAACCGGCCGGCCAACCCCCTGCGCGTAATAATGCTTACGTCACTCTGATTTATATTGCAGAACGTCCTGCGGGAGCTGGAGCAGAAGAAACCGCAGCTGGACGAGCTGGTTCACACGGCCGAAAACCTGCGCGCCGACACTAATCGACAGCAGTTGCATGGCAAAGGTGAGTTTCCTCCCGCTGTTTTCGTGTTTGCGTATTTTTCAGCCGTGATAACGGATCTTAACGGCACGTCAAATAGTTGGGCTTGTGTGTGTGTGTGTGTGTGCGCGCGCGCGCGCGTCGGGGTGTGTCGTGTATACCCAACGATGCAAACGCGGCGATCTTGGTTTAACGTTCTCTTCATGTTGGGCCTGCGCCATTGTGAAATGCGCCGGAGGGAGGAAGAGAGAGAGAAAAAGAAAGAAAGAGAAAGAACCTTTCTTTGAAAGTTGTCTGGAATATCAAACGCGCGCGCACGACAGCGATGCACCAGATTGGTTCTGCAGAACTGCTTCTTAGCCGTCGGGCTCGTATCCAAAAAATCTTGACTAGCTTACTTGACTACGCGTCACCCGTAAAAATGCCCCGTGTATTTTCCACCCCCCTCCCCCCGGCTGCACATTCGTCGTGTAACCTTTATATAACATTATCGCGCGCGACGCAGGAAATGTTTTCAAGTGCGAGCCGTTTATGCAGCGCAACTGAGGCAGAACTGCATTTTCGAAATGCGTTTCGCGAATTTTCCTGGTTTTTTGTTAATTAAACGGTTTCAGTTTGCCATTAATCAAACCCGATTGCGAGGAAAAGAAAAATATATGACGGGAGCCGTAACGGCTGTACGTCCCTATATGTGTGCGCAATAAATTGAACCGACACTCGTTGGTTTTTGCAAGCTTCTCTATTATTATACTCACCGTTTTTTTTTTTCTCCGTCAACCTGCGATATAATCCGTGCACGTCATCGACAACGTTGATCATTGCGCGAGAATCAGTTTAATGACCTGACAAATCCAGTTATCGGACACGCGCGAGAGTGCCCCTCGAGGCGAGAAACGAAAATATTTTCATGGGAAGCGCTCGATAAGTGCATCGCGCGGAATCTAATGGACTTAATGAGTTTCTGCCGTCATAATTGATACCGGAGGAAGCAATCCTGCCTGCGTGGCACTCTCCGCAATCGAGCGAAGTTTAGAAGTTTAATTATCGGCTTTGATTGCTCGCCCGAAGACTGTAATAAATTGCAGTAACGGTAGTTCGATCGATGTAAATTCGGTCTGTGCAGATCGTTCTGAAATTAATTGTCGCGCTCCGATTAATCATCGGACGTTGGGCGGCAGCGTGACGCGGCACCGAGATATCAACACGCTCCCTGTAGCAAGTCGTTCCTTTTATCGTTCCCGGTAATATTAATGAATCTTCGCGCGCATGTCAAATCCTCGGATTTTACGACGGCGATATTTCGCTGCTCGCAGCCGCCGCGTGGCTATCTTGTATCATTCGCGCACGGAGGGAAAGAATTGATGGAATTAACGAATTGGCAAGGAACGAGCCGAACGAAATCTCCTCCTCTTCTGAAACCGAATCTCAGGTTCACGAGAACCGGGAAGTCTCGTTCCTTCAACCAATTATACGTCCGCTTCGTTCATCATCGCGTTGATTCAATCAGCCTCTTTTCTCCGTGCGAGAAAAAAGTTTGAAAGAATCAACGCGCGACGACGAACGAAGCAAGCGTCTTTTGCTCGAAGGAAATCTCCGCTGTTCAGAGCCGAATTTGCTTCGCAAGGAAACCGGCGGTCCCCTTTCCTTCAGGCGAGAAACACTGTCCGCGGCCCGATCATTGTCGCGTTACAATTCGACCGGACCTTTTTCTCCCGCGATCGACTCGAAGTGCATTAATAATGCACAATATTCGCACGTTTCTCGCGCACTCGGAGTTGATTAATTGAAAAGTCCCGTCGTCGTCGTCGTCGTCGTCGTCGTCGTCGTCGTCGTCGTCGCTACTCGCGCGCTTCTACGGAGTTTTAAATTCGACGTGAATAGCCGCAATTTGAAGTCGTCGGCGAAGGAGATTACTCGCGAAGCCGCTAATTATTTCAAGACGCCTGAAATTTCCTCCTCCCCGTCCCCCGCCAAATGGCGCCGGCCATTGTTCGTTCTATATCAGCGTCGCGCTCTACTCGGACGCGCGACCGTTTCTACCGGCGGCCCGCGCATTATAACCCGAACCATTCATCCGTCCATTGTTTTCGGTACTTGCCTTTTGCGCCGCGCGGGAACGGAGAATACCACCGGTACACTCAGATTTACTCATCGTGCGTTATTAATTTCGCGTATACATCGAGCAACCTTCTTGCTTCTCCGGCCAATTTCGCCGGCGAAGAAATAGCCGTTGTGTGTGTGTTGTTGCGCTCTCACTCGTTAACGTTACGGGCTCTTGGCCGGCATTAACTTTCCCCGCCCCGACGACAATGACGCGGGAGCGGTAATTGAGTAAGAAAAAGAAGAAAGATTCTCGAGGAACAATCGGGAAGGTAATGCTCCCCTCTTGTCTCCTTGCAACTCCCAAGCCAACCCTCTCCGTCGGGACGTCGCTGTGCGTTACACCGCCGGCACTGGTTTAATAAATCGCATCGATCTTGCGCGCGTTGAGCTTTTTAATGGCGGATGACGCCGGCTTATCGCGCCGCTGATTGTTCGTTAGCGGCCGGCTCTCCACTGTCGCGGGGAAATTTTTTACTCTCCTTCGACCGTAGATCACGGATTACGTTGGCATGTTCGCGCGTCCGGGCTTGAAGTGGCTCAACACGCGAGATTGATCCTCGCTGTGCGAGCGAGGCGCTAAGGCGCACATTTCGGCGCCGCGGCCGCGGTGAATTTCGCGCGCTCAGAACGCGAGCTTTCTTTACACAGCTTGCCGACTAGAAATTTTGATCAGGTTCATCTAACATTGATAAGGACTTAATAGGGTGAATAAAAGGTAATCCTGAGTAAGTCAGTCCTTATAATGTCCTAACGACAAATGAGTAAGGAAGACCTTTATAAGGTTATAATGATTGGGTCCACATTAGAACCTTAATGTATCAACCTAGTGTATGATATAATATGGTTCGGTTAATCAGGTCCTTGTCGGGATCTTATTCATTGTGTACCTAGGGTGACCATATCCCAGTCATAAAAAAAGAGTAAAAGACGGGTAAAAAAAAAAAGTGTATAAAAGAGTACTAATTACGGTCCCAAAAGTAAGTACAGTAAGTAGAACATAAAATCATACAAAAGTCAAGGTGATGTCAAGTAATATAAAAACAATGTCATTTTGACGTCAAAATGATTTTGTGTTTTATCTGGGACAGTGATTAATGGATTACTAGGTGTGTAATATTTAAAATAAAACATAGTGGGTACTAAATAAAACCGAGAAATATTAGTCGAACACATATGTTCTATTATATTATTAAGATATTTTATAATTATATTTTGCACTCCGTACATCGCATGACAATTTCGGTTTTCACTGTTGTCGTTACCAAAGAGCGGACATCAGCGCCGTTTTCCGCACTCACAACGTCAGAGCGCTATGCGCCAGTGTCGATTGTGCTGCACGATTTATACGTAGTAACTAGCGGGACACCGTTGCGCAGAACCTCTACGCATAATCGGTATTGGCGCTCGAATGCTGTGAGTGATGAAAACGTCACCGAAGTCTGCTCTCTGATCATTATCGACAAAGTATAATTAACATTACGAGAAAAGAGTACGATACGTAAAAAGTAGAGAGTACTCTTTTTACCACCTTGAAAAGAGTACATATGGTCACCCCAATTGCACCTAATATGATTTGCATTATCAAGTTTTAACAAGACAATTTTTGGGTGTCATTATGCCAAATATAAAGATGTTTGCATTGAAAAAACACTTCACAGATCACTTGAATATATTTGTAAAATGCTATAGAAACTATCCTTTTTTTTAGCAGTCAATAAATAGTTGGAAAATTAACGTGACATGCAACTTTTCTCTTTAACACTGCTTTATGTCTCGTCACCTTGTGATACTTTATGATCTTATGATATTCATTTTATGTTTCCTTTCCGAAACATTTTACAAGTATGCTCAAGCGATCTAGAATATTATTTCATGCAAATATCTTTTTATTTGGAAATGACATGAAAGAATTTTCAGCGTGTCATTTCTTATTTCTAGTGTCATCATCCAATATAGCCATGGCGAGTAATCAGGAGCCATAATTTGAAAAAAAAAAAAAACAATAAAGATGACATAAGGTAACTCAATAAGGACCTGACTATGAATCCTTACTAAGGTCCCGATATCCACTCTGCGTTACATGACTTATTAGAACCCGATAGTATTACCTTATTGGGATCTGATGTCCAAATGAAGTTAACCCGATCAGGACCATGGGATAAATTTCTAGTCGGGTTCGTCCCGACAACAACGGACGTTCTGCGTGGGTCGCGTGTCCTCGTGCACACCGCCGTACACGGCTAACGAGCACGTGATAAGTCGCCGCTGGATGCGACGAACGTAATTCGCGGTCACAGCCGCCGATGAGGAATCGTCGGAAAGCGAGCACGATTTTCACACGCAAATCTCGCGCCGACACTCGTCCAATCGAGTACATATCTCATGCGACTTTTGCACAGCTGTCAGGGAGGGAGTTGGCGAGTTTACGAGGGACGAGAGGCGAGGGAAAAAAAAAACGATCGCAGGCCAGCGCGGACGTACGTGCGTGGCCGTATTGAAGAGCGCGCGGTCGTGTTTTCGGGCTATTCGCGAATATCTTTCATAATAGGCGCACTATCGAGCGCACCCGTGTCGCCTCCGCAGCCCGCCACCGCGATGGGGGCGGTGGTAGCGGTGGTGCTGCTGAGTGCTAGAGTGTTGCCGTCGCCTGCCGGGCTTTAATTACGAGCACGAAACATACGGAACACGCTACACCCGCGCATTTCACCTGCATAGATTGCCACGTTCATCCCCTGGCCCCGCCGGCTGCTACAGCCGCTCTAAGTGGCGTTAACTCGCACCGTCGTCTTGGAATTGCAGCGGCCGCCGCTGGCCGCTGTTCCCTCGGCCGCGCGCGATTCCTACGGCGTTTTCGGGCCTTCTAATCAGCGTGGATTTATACGCCTCGAAACGCATACGCGATCCTGACCGCGGTGGTCGTG